ATTATGCTTTTCAGAAAGAATTCATGGGTGATACACTTTCCAAATCCTCGTGTGTCCACAATGTCTTTCTGTGACTTGCACACATTGATAATATATGAAATAGGTATAATTTCTTGGGTTACACATTTTCTCCTTCTAATCTTTAAAAACAATGTTCAGTTGCCTACTATTAATGGGTTGGAAAAAGGGTGTATATCCCTGGCTGTTTAGTAGAATCCATGCAAATGCACACACCAGAAACTAAACATGACTCCCAATATCAAATTCCACAAGTTACATGTTCAGTATGAACACACTCTTAACCATAATTATAAACATCCTAACACCGAACACTAAACACTAAAGCCTGAACCCTGGCTGCATCCCACCTCTAAGCCTAGACCAAACAAAACACTGAAACTCACCCTAATCCCCAACTCCTTGCTCTAACCTCATTATTAACCTAAACCTTAATCCTGATGCTACATTTTATTTATTTTTTATTTTATTTTATTTTGAGACAGAGTCTCACTCTGTTGCCTGGGCTAGAGTGTCGTGGCGTCAACCCAGCTGACAGCAACCTCAAATTCCTGGGCTCAAGCGATCTTCCTGCCTCAGCCTCCCAAGTAGCTGGGACTACAGGCATGCGCCACCATGCCTGGCTAATTTTTTCTATATATATATTTTTAGTTGGCCAATTAATTTCTTTCTTTTTATAGTAGAGACGGGGTCTCACTCTTGCTCAGGCTGGTTTTGAACTCCTGACCTTGAGTGATCCACCTGCCCCAGGCCTCTGGTGCTACATTTTAAAGCATCAGCATTTGGTCTATGAGTAAAGTGGTTTATCAAGGCAGAGTAAAGAAGCCATCTCTTTCCACTTCCCTTGCCCACTGTGCTCCAGCCCCATGGCCTCATGGCCATACCCTTACCTTCTTTGGGTCTTTACCCAAGTGTCACTTTCCACAAACAGTTTAGGCCAACAGTACAATTAAAGAGAACAGTCCCCACAAGAGACCACTCTCACTTTGACACCAACTGCAATTCAAGGGGCCTCCCAGAACCACCCCCAGGTTAGGTAATTTGCTGGAAGGACTCATAGAACTTGCCGAAAGCTATTATGCACATGGTTATGGTTCATTACAGGGAAAGGACACAGATTAAAATAAGCCCAGGGTCTACGGCCATACCACCCTGAATTCACCCGATCTTGTCTAAAATAAGCCCAGGGAAGGGACGAAACTCAACCAAGCGGAGTCCTTGAGGGTCCAAGCATGAAGCTTCCAGTTGTCCTCTCCCTATGAAGTCACGGATGCCATTTGTCACCATCAGGCATAAAATCCAGCTTACCTACTTGTTTATTGTCTCTCTCTCTCTCTCCCATAGGAATATAAGCTCCACGAGGGCAGGAAAGGTCCGCTTTATTCACAGCTGTGTCACAGGCTTCAGAGCTGCACCATCCAATATTGTAGCCACTTGTGGGTAGCGAGCACTTGAATAGTGGCTAGCCCACTTTGAGATACACAATAAGTGTAAAATAAACACAGAATTTTAAAGGCTTAGCATTTTTTAATGGAAAATATCTCATTGATAATTTATTATGTTGATTATATGTTTAAAAATGATATTTGGGACATATTGGGTTATATCAAATATATTATTAAAATTTATTTCATTTGCTTGTCTTTTATAAACGTGTTTAATGTGGCTTCTAGAAAACTGAAAATTGCATACGTGGCTCAAATTTGAGACTAGCTCTCTCTATATATATGTATACACATATATATAAATAGAAAATCAGACAACACCGCTCTAGAAAAAATGTCAGTAAACTTTTTCTGTAAAGACCAAATAGTAAATATTTTAGGCTTTGCGGGCCATATGGCTTTGACTCTGCTGCTGTAACAGGAAAGCAGCCATAGAAAATGTTTAAAACAGCAGGTGTGGCTGGGTTCCCAAACACACTATTTATGAAATAGACAGCCACACAATTTAACCCGTGGGCCACTGTTTGTGAAGCTCCTATCCAGAACATCGTTTAGTCCATAGTAAATATTCAATAAATGTTTGCTGAGTGAACGACTAGAGAGAAGGCTCGCATGGCTGCATTGTGGAAGCCAGGAGGAGCATGGAAGACAATGTTGGGGGTAGCTGGTGGCCAGAAAATATGGGGCCTATTACCTGTGAATTTTATTTTAAGCCATTGGAGGGATTTAAAGCAAGATAGTGATAAAATCTAATTTGGCTTTTACAAAAAAATCACTGTGATGCTATAGTTTGGCACCCAGACCTACCTCCCACCCCTTTCAGAACTCATTCTGAATCTTGGTAACCAAAAGCTCTCAGGGGAGCCCCTCTCCAAGAGTTGTTGCTCATGGCTGAAGAGAGTTGCCTTGTCCAAGGCTGCACTCCATTTTTGGAGCCAACTCACATCCAGGGACTTGCCAGTGTAGGAGCATAAAAGCCTGGCCTTCCTGCCGCAGGTGCAAACGACTCAGAAGGGCTATGCAGCTCCAGAGCTCGCTGTGGGACCGGCAGCTGCCACCCTGGTTGTGGCTGCATTGCATTCCCACTGTCTGCCCCACTCCTCAAAGGAGTCCGTCTACTTCCATCCTCTCCCACGGGTGTTGGTCTCGTGAGTACTCCCCCAAAACTGCCTGCATGCAAATCTGCACCTCACAGTCAGAGTCCCAGGGAGCTGACCTGCAGCAGATGAGAGCATAAGTGGTCAGAGAAAGCAAACTCTTTGAATGGGATTTTGGAGCTGATTCCCTGTCAGCTGCCCATGAGAACACCATCGCTGGCTGTAGGTGTGGACAAATGGCCCCAGGCAAACTGAAGCAGTACAATGGTCAAAACCATCCCTGGTGGTGAAGTGTACTGGTCCATGGAGAGAGGGGATGCTCTGGTGAGAGCCATGTACCAGGCCTTTGGGGAACAGAAAGAGATAGTATAATAACTATAAAAACAATGGAGGCCCGGTGTGGTGGCTCATGCCTGAAATCCTAGCACTCTGGGAGGCCGAAGTGGGAGGATTGCTTAAGCTCAGGAGTTCAAGACCAGCCTGATCAAGAGCAAGACCCAGTCTCTATTATAAATAGAAAGAAATTAGCCAAACAACTAAAAAATAGAAAAAATTATCTGGGTACGGTGGTGCGTGCCTCCAGTCTCAGCTACCTATGAGGCTGAAGCCGGAGGATCCCTTGAGCCCAGGAGTTTGAGGTTGCTGTGAGCTAGGCTGACACCAGGGCACTCTAGCCGGGGCAACAGACTGAGACTCTGTCTCAAAACAAAAAGAAAAAGACAATGGAAATGGATAGCTGTTGTTGGGAGCTACTGAAGCATTGGAAAAAGACAGTGCCAAGGGAGAATGCCAGAGGGCCTCCTTGGCAGCATATAAAGAGACTCACATACTACACCAGGGAACAGAAGTGGCTGGGGGCCAGAGCAGACAAGGAGACCAGCAGCAGCCCAGGCGGGAGACAGAGCTGGCTTGACCCAGGATGCTAGTGGCAGAACTGGAGAGAAGTGGTCAGAGCCCGGCTACATTTTGAAGATAAAGCCAGCATGATTCGCTGTAGTGTTTGGATTAATGTTAGTTTCCTATTGCTGCTGTAACAAATCACCACAAATTTACTGGTTTAAAAACAAGACAAATTTATATTTTTATACTTTTGGAGGTCATAAATCTGGAAAGTCTTATGGGGCTAAAATCAAGGTGTCAGCAGAATGGATTCCTTCTGGGAGCTCTGAGGGGAGACTTCCCTGGTCTTTTCTAGCTTCTTTAGGCCACCCAATTCCTTGGCTGGTGGCCCACTTCTGCCATCTTCAGTGCGAATCACTCCAACCTCTGCTTCAATCCTCATATCTCCTTTTCTTGTGACTCTGATCCTCCTTCCTCCCTTGCGGTTATAATGGGTCCAACTAGATAATCCATCCCTATCTCAAAATCCTTAATTTAATGAGGTCTGCAAAGTCCCTTTAGCCATGTATGAAAACATTCATACTCACAGGTTCTAGGGATTTGGATATAGACAGATTTGGCGATGGAAAGGACATGGTTCAGCCTATTACAAGGTTGGATATGGGGTGCAAGAAAGGGAAGAGCCAAAGATGGCCCCCATGCTTTGGGGCCTGAGCAGCTGGAAGGAGGGGTGGCCATGAGCCTTGATGGGAAAGATGATGGCTCAGAGATTCAGCCCATTCATCTTCGGAAGCAAACTCCTGCGCCTTCTTCCCAAAGGCTTCCCTGTGTTCAAAGATTATTTTCAGAGAAAGGTAAATTCATGACTCTCATACAGATGTAAAAATGAACACATGTTGAACACATTTTCTCCTTATATGATATGAAGCTGTTATGGCTTCAAATTTTGTATCCCCTCAAAACTCTGAAGCCCTGACCCCCAAAGTGATGGTATTAGGAGATGGGGCCCGTGGGGGGCAGTTAGGCTTAGATGATGTCACAAAGGTGAAGACCCCATGATGGGATTAGGGCTCTCATAAGAAGAGGACCCTTCTAAGTTCTGGGCTGGGACACCCTGTAACAAAAGATAGACTAACAAGAGAAAAACCAAGAGAAGTTCATTAAACATGTATATTTCATACATGCATGGGAGAAAACTCAGGGAAAGAGTAACTCTCAAAGAACTGAGTTAGAACTCCAACTAGGCAGCATCTCCAGCAATAAATTCTTAGAGAAGTATCCAAACAAAAGGACCTGCCCGGGCATGGTGGCTCATGCCTGTAATCCTAGCACTCTGGGAGGCCAAGGCAGGAAGGTAGTTCAAGAGTTCAAGGTCTGGAGTTCGAAACCAGCCTGAGCAAGAGTGAAACCCTGTCTCTACTAAAAGTGGAAAGAAATTAATTGGCCAACTCAAAATATATATAGAAAAAATTAGCCAGGCATGGTGGCGCATGCCTGTAGTCCCAGCTACTCTGGAGGCTGAGACAGAAGGATTGCTTGAGCCCAGGAGTTTGAGGTTGCTGTGAGCTAGGCTGACGCCAGGGCACTCTAGCCGGGGCAACAGAGTGAGACTCTGTCTCAAAAAAAAAAAAAAGGACCTTGAGTCTCCAGGGACAGCAAATTGTGGGAAGGCAAATATATAGGAAATTCCTGGTAGACGAAAGCTAGTTAGTAAAGTTTGTTATGCAGATTCCTCCGGTGCCATCTCCAGGTTGATGGGATCCAAAGTTGTCTTCAACCTTTGTCCTTCCTGCTGGAGAAGAGAGGAGGGACACCTTTGTAAAGTTATGTACAAATAAGGGAAGGGCAGAGGGCTTTTCCAGTATCCGCTTCTTCTCAATTACCCCTAGCTCAAAATACTTACAATCCTTATGCCAAAGTGCCCCATTTTGGGCTGGCATATTCTGCCACCCTTCAGTAGTAAATTTAGTAGTATAGTCTCCTATATGGCCTCTTTTTCCCATCTCTTCTTCCAATCCAATTAACATGCATAAGAGAGAGCAAGAGACTGCTAGGCAGGAGCATTGGCAGAGCAGGAAGATGCTATCTGGGACCAGATAGAAAATCTTAGACAGTCATCTGTACTCTCGTTGACAACAGAAAGATGTGTTGGGAGGAAAAACTTTTCCTCTACGTATTTAGGTTCAGGGCCTACAAATTAACAACAGATTCACAGGAAAAAGAAATGAAGTTCCTTTATTTGAGGGAGGCTTTAGATGAATCAGCTCCCGAAACAGCCAAAAATAGGGGTCTGTATACCCACTTAATAAGGGAAAAAGGACTGCTATGGAAGAACAAATGGAAGGCATGGTAGTTTCAGATAAAGTTTGTCTAAGCAATTACTCACTGTGGTGACAGTGGTTAGTCTCTTCTGGCTATAGACCTCCTAGAGAGGGGATTTATGGTGGCAAAGGAAGTTTAGGTAAGTTTTTTTTTTTTTTTTTTGCACAATCATGTGTTTATGTGTTTGTATGTGTGTATCTGTGTCTGTGTGTGTGTCCTGCAGCTGCTGTTTGTTTAGATGTTTTTAGCTTAAAAGAATCTTTATGTCATTCAAGTGCATTTTGGATCCCCACAGCTGCAAAATCATTCTTCATGTAGCATGACTTTTCAGGGATCCTTTTCTGTCTGCAATTTTGGTCAAAGGTCCAGAGGTAAGAAAAATGCATCCGAATGCCCCACACTCTGGAGTGAAGTGCAGACTTGCAGAAAGATGCCAAGTAAGTTGGCTCTTGACTGTCAGCCCATCACCCGCCGCCAGGCTGTATTGGGAGAAGCATGGGAGTAGGAGTGAAGCTAGAAAGAGCATTTCTTAAACGAAAGAGTGGTCCCTCCCCTCCTCTTAAGTGTGACAGGAGGCCTTCAAGAGAGCCAGTGGGAGAGCTTGGCCTGAGTCCCCTGGTGCTGACTGGGGTGCAAGAGTAAAGAGAGACGCTAGGGTCTCCTGAGCGCCCACTCAAGAGGATGCCAGCAGGCAAGAGCCTGTGCAGGTGGGGAGCCGCTGTAAGCAGGTGGCTTGAGGCTACGTCACCTTTGTCAGTGAATATTGTGCCTGTGGGTGGTGTCGCCAGTGCACCCACCAGCACACCTCAGAGAAAGAGCCAGCATTTGGGCACCTGACCCACCCAGAGAGCATCAGCCCTGCTTGTCTGCTCCTTTTCTGCTCCTCCCCCTCCTTGCCACACCGTAGGAGAGTCAGGAGTGGCACCGTGAGTGGGTAAAGAGGAATGAAGAGTAGGAAGAAGAAACAGTGAGGAAGCCAGCTATCCTCCCCTTCCCCTCTGAGTTTCCAACCCCAGCCAGGGCAGCCTTCCACATCTCTGCCTTGCCCTCTCCCCTGCCTGCTCGGCTTGCACTCCAAGTTTTCTGACCCCTCTAGGGTCAAAGCACAGGGGATGGGGCGGGGAGACAGATAAGGGGCAGGAAAGAGATCGAATACCAGGGACTTCCCTAATGCATCACTCCCAGAGTTGGCAGGTATTCAAGGCTGACTCTATCGCGGGGCATTCTGAAGGATTTTTGGGGATTTTCACATCCCACACCCCCTGCAGCTACTGACAAGGTGATGCACTTTCCAGTCTGCTCTTGACAACCCTGTTCAGTCATTGGTCCTGGGAGATCACCTCCACAAATCTTTTAAGCTCCCATTGGCCCTCCCGGCAGCCCCTTGGGCAAGTCCTTTTAAGATGTCTCTCTCCATCTCAAGGTACCTTGGGACGCCAGTATCCGCCACTCAAACTCCCCAGCTCACTTCCAGGAACTGTGCGGGTTTCTTTTCTAGGTCCGTCCACCCAAGGGCAGACTATTCTACTAAGGCATATACCTTTAGGCCTGGGGGCGGTCAAAGAGAGTTCATGGGTGCAGCTTGGACCTGCAGTCTGGGGTGTCCACACGTATGCACAGTCCCTTCGTGGTGCAGGGCAGAACCAGGGACAGGAAGAAAGGAGAGATGGAGCCAGAATTCATTTATTCTCTTGCCTCTGTAAATGTTACAGGCAGGTGGGGTAGAAGAGGGGGCTGAGATGACCCCAGTAGCTCAGCATAAGGAACAGCAGGTGCTAAGACCCTGAAGTAGGAGAGAGAGCATTGTGCATTCTGGGGACAGGAAAGCAAGGGAAGGAGAGAGTGCTCTGAGACCGGGTTGAGGACAGAGGTAGGGCGGGTGAGGCCCTCGCACAGAGCTTTGTGAGCCTCAGCAAAGACTTGGATCCTATAGCACAGGGGTGGAAAGCCTTGAAGTGGTTTAAGCAGATGGACAGTGTGAACACACAGGCATTTTAAAGAGACTGCTCTTGCTGTCTGTGCCTGGGGGCGGCAGGGAAGCCACCAAGAACAGAAGCTTGAGGAAGTGCTGGGGTGCCGATGTGATAGCAAGAGATAAGAAATGGTGCCCCAGTGACGGGGCTGAGGCAAGGCCTCTAGAGATGGTATGATGGCACATAGTCACCCCAGCACTGCCCCTGGGCCCCTCCCAGCTTCCTGGGTGTCCTTAATAGCCCTTATCCCATTGGAGCTTCACAATGGCTCTGGGGAAAGGGAGACTATTAGTATATGCAATACATTTAATGTTGACACTTGGAGAAAAAGCAAAAAGGCAAGGTACCTGGAACCTGGGAACCTCGTCACAGCTTCAAGCTTAGCTCAGCCAGCCAGTGAATCAGTGCACCCTGATTACAGTGTAGTTTCCCAGCTGAACAATCAATTCCATGATAGCACAAACGGTGTCTGTCCTGTTCATCCTATAGCCCCAGCTCTCCTGGCAAAGAGCCCAGCACAGAGCAGGCCCCCGTAAATATTAATTTAATGGATTATATCTCTCCATTACTGCATAACAAACCAGCCCCAAATTCAAATGGCTTCAAATAATGACAAATATTTATTTTGCTCACAGTTCAGCAATCAGGGACAGCTCATCTCTGCTCAGTGTGGTATCAGCTGGGACAGCTCAGCTTGACACTGGAATATCTGCTTCCAAGATGGTTCACTATTAAGGCTAGCAAGTGGATGATAGCTGTTGACTGGGAGTGCAGCCAGCACTGTGGGCTGGGGGCCTTGGTTCATCTCCAGATGAATCTCTCCCCCGGCTGCTTGGGCTTCCTCATAGCATGGTGGCTGCGTCCCAATGTCTCCAGAAGTGGAAGCCAGATTGCCTTTTAGATGCAGCCTCAGAAGTCACAAAGTGTCCTTTCACTACAGTCACAAGCCTGCCTAGATTTAAGGGGATAGCACTTAGATGCCTTTCTCTTGATTGGAAAAATGTCAAACACATTATAAGGACAACATATGGGATGGGAGATATCAGAGTGGCCCTCTTTGGAAAACACATCTAATCTGTCTCATGGATGAGTAAACCCTGTCACTTCCTGGTGGACCCGGCATTTGAACTCAAGTTCTGTTCAGTACATTTTGCGCGAGGATGAAGGGTTATGGGTCACACGTTCTAGAAAGGCTCCTCTCTCACCTGGAGAAGATAAAGAAGTGGAGTTTGGAGAGTTGATTGACAGTTATGAGGATAATTCACTTATTTAAAAGAAAAAAAATTTTTAAAAAGAACAAAACAAAAAAGATAATTCACTTATTTATGTTAACTATCTGCCTCTTCAACTAAAATGTAGGCTCCATGAGGTTTTATTTTATATATACATATAATTGCATATAGTTTATATGTAAGATTTTATATTATATATATACACATATACATAGATAATCTCCAGTGCTTAGCCCGGAGTACAGCACACAGCAACTGTGCAAAGAATTCTTATGGAATAAAATAAACGAAATGCCTGCTTGGTCCAGCTACACAGTGTCACTTGGTGAGGTGCTGCCACCTTCTGGGCCCTGGGGCACAGCCAGCCATTTCAAACTCACCAAGTCCCCTCTTTGGAAGTATGCCCCTCTCTCTTGTCTCAGCCGCTCCCAGTTTACAAGGCCCTCACCTAATGGCTGGTTTGTTTTTGAAACAGCAATCCTGCCCCGGGTTTCGAACTCCTGACCTTGAGCGATCCTCCCACCTTGGCCTCCCAGAGTGCTAGGATTACAGGCGTGAGCACCACACTTGGCCTCTTACAGGTTTTGTCTGCCTTGATTCCCACTTGAGCAATGAGAACTCTGAGAACCAGAGGAGCTATTGAACAGAGCCTCTGTCAAGGTGTCTACATGGTCAGTCCTCAGCTGTGCGTCCAGCCTCACTGGTTTTGCCACCCAGGGTCCTTGATGTACCCGGCAGCCCCTCCTACCTGCTTATCTTACAGCAACTCTTTGCAGCACGGGACACCCTTGGTCTCTTCCCCCTTCAAAATATCTTCTTCCTTTGGGGTCTTCTTCATAAATTCTTTGCCTAGGCCAATGTCTAGAAGAGTATTTCCAACGTTTACCTCTAGAATTCTAATAGTTTCATACCTAAGGGTTAAGTCTGTTACCCAGTGTGAGTTGATTTTTGGGAGGGGTGAAAAATGTGGATCCTGTTTCAGTCTTATACAAGTGGATCTACCATTTGATCCAGCAATTCCATTACTGGGCATCTACCCAAAAGAATAAACACTCTATGAAAAGACACCTGCACTCAAATGTTTATAGCAGCACATTCACACTGCAAAGATGGAAACAACCCAAGTGCCCATCAATACATGAGTGGATTAATAAAATGTGGTATATGTATACCATGGAGTACTATTCAGCTATAAAAAACAACGGTGGGCCGGGCGCAGTGGCTCACGCCTTTAATCCTAGCACTCTGGGAGGCCGAGGCGGGTGGATTGCTCGAGGTCAGGAGTTCGAAACCACCCTGAGCAAGAGCAAGACCCTGTCTCTACTATAAATAGAAAGAAATTAATGGGCCAACTAATATATATAAAAAAAATTAGCCGGGCATGGGTGCCATGCCTGTAGTCCAGCTACTCGGGGAGCTGAGGCAGGAGGATTGCTTGAGCCCAGGAGTTTGAGGTTGCTGTGAGATAGGCTGATGCCACAGCACTCACTCTAGCCTGGGCAACAAAGTGACATTCTGTCTCAAAAAAAAAAAAAGAAAGAAGAAAAGAAACAACGGTGATATAGCACCTCTTGTATTTTCTGGATACAGCTGGAACCCATTCTACTAAGTGAAGTATCTCAAGAATGGAAAAACAAGCACCACATGTACTCACCAGCAAATTGGTATTAACTGATCAACACCTAAGTGGACACATAGGAATAACATTTATCGGGTGTCGGGCAGGTGGGAGGGGGAGGGGATAGGTATATGCATACGTAATGAGCGTGATGCGCATCATCTGGGGGACCGTCCGATTCTCTCCACGGAGCCCGGAGAGCGGCTCCCCTCGCTGTCTCAGGTCCCACCTGCACACGAACGCCAGCCCGGTCTTCTATCCTGAGCTCCAGACCCCATGACCCGGCCCCCTGAAGGCCCGCCAGCCTGGGACACCCCAGCACCTCGCACTCATTCTGTCCAAAGCCAGCCTGGTGTCCCTCTCCACCAGCCACCCCGCCCCTTCTCCCACCCCCACTGCCCAGCTCGCCTCCCAAGCCAGACAGCTGGGTCTCGCCCGGAGTTTTCCCCTGTCCTCACCTCCGAGTTCACTAAAATAGTCTTCAGTAGCTACATCAACAGGTGCACCAGGCACTTTGACATGTTTCAGCTCTTGTAGGTTTGTTTGCTTGTTGTTTGTTTTGAGACAGAGTCTCACTTTGTTGCCCAGGCTAGAGTGAGTGCTGTGGCGTCAACCTAGCTCACAGCAACCTCAAACTTCCCGAGTTCAAGCAATCCTGCTGCCTCAGCCTCCCGAGTATGTGGACTACAGGCCGCCACCATGCCTGGCTAATTTTTTCTATATATATTTTTAGTTGGCCAATTAATTTCTTTCTATTTATAGTAGAGATGGGGTCTCGCTCTTGCTCAGGCTAGTTTCGAACTCCTGACCTTGAGGGATCCTCCCACTTCGGACTCCCAGAGTGCTAGGATTACAGACATGAGCCACCATGCTTGGCCTCTTATAGGTTTTGTCTGCCTCCTTGGCAGCCCTCAGACAGCCTGGACTGCTGGGACAGGCCCTCCTTCCCCACCTCCTCCCAGTGGCCTGACTCTCATTACTCTATGCTCCAACTTGCCCCTACTAAAACCCTTCAGGATGGGGCCCAAACTCCTGTGTGGCATTCAATTTTCACAGCCTGGCCCTCGCCTGCCACCAAAGAGCACACTCCACCCTCTCTGTCCATCCCCTCGGCCCTCAAGTCACACTGCCCACGTCATGCCATCCATGTCTCTGTGCCTTTGCCCGCTCTCTTCCCTCTCTCCGGAACTCCCTTCCCTCATCTGCTTATGTCCAAAGCTTCCCATCCCCACTGTACAAAGGAAGAGACTGAGGGTCAGAGAGCCAACACAACTCGTCCAAGGTTGTAGAGCTGGCAAGTAGTGGAGCCAGGGTTCCAAAGGAAGACTGTCTGAAACCAGCTCCTTTTGCTGCTCTGCTCTATTCCAAGCCTCAGTTTCCCCAAGTATGAAAAGGGAATGAGGCTGGACACGGTGGCCCACGCCTATAATCCTAGCATTCTGGGAGGCCGAGGCAGGAGGATCCCTTGAGGTCAGGAGTTCGAGACCAACCTGAGCAAGAGTGAGACCCCATCTTTTTAAAATATATATATTAAAAATAAAGAAAAAAAGGAGAGGTGAATGAAAGACTATGGGCTCTTCTAGCTCTGACTTTCCCTAACCAGATTCTTTTTTTTTTTTTTTTTTTTGAGACAGGAGTCTCGGCTTTGTTGCCCAGGCTAGAGTGAGTGCCGTGGCCGTCAGCCTACTCACAGCAAACCTCAAACTCCTGGCTCGAGTGATCTTTCTGCCTCAGCCTCCCGAGTAGCTGTGGGACTACAGGCATGCGCCACCGATGCCCAGCTAATTTTTTAATATATATACTCAGTTGGCCAATTAATTTCTTTCTATTTTATAGTAGAGACGGAGTCTCGCTCTTGCTCAGGCTGTTTTGAACTCCCTGACCTTGAGCAAGTCCGCCCGCCTCGGCCCTCCCAAGAGCTAGGATTACAGGCGTGAGCCACAGCGCCCAGCTAAGATTTCTTGATTCTGAGATGCTCTGAGGCTCTCTAGTGGTGACCTGGGGGTACTGAACCCGGCGCCCTAGCCAGCAGCTTGGAGAATACTCAGGCCACGCCACCTGTGCCCTGTGGCACTGGCTGCATGACCTGTGCACGCTCCCCCTTAAGAACACAATTACCAGTGGGTGGCATGGGCTCCTGCCTGCCTTTGACTTCTCCGGTTTCCATTGTGTCGGTTTTCTATTGCTGCCTAGCAAAATTCCACAAACTTACCAGCTTAAAAGCTTACATGCTTATTAGCTTGCAGTCCTGTAGCTCCAAGTTTCTGCAGACGTGGCTGGGTTCAAAGCTCAGGGTCTCACAAGGCTGAAACTGGGCTGAGTCCTCATCTGGACACTAAAAGGAAATCCTCTTCCTTTTTTTTTTTAATTCAGGATATTATGTGGATACAAACATTTTGGTTACGCGAAATGTGTCTGCCTTGCTCAAGCCAAGGCTACAAGTAAATCTTTTCCCCATACAGTGTGCACGGATTCCATTAGCTGTGGGTTTACCCCCCTGCCCCCACTACCCTCCAACCCCCATCCCCCCACGTGACCAGCACCCAGTGGGTAGTACTACCACGTGAGCATCTTAGTGTTGATCAGTTAGTACCAATTCAATGGTGAGTACCTGTGGTGAATGTTTTTCCATCCTTGCGATACCTCACTTTGAAGGATGGGCTCAATCTCTCTATCCAGGATAATATAAAAGGTGCTAGGCCGGGCGCGGTGGCTCACACCTATAATCCTACCACTCTAGGAGGCCGAGGCGGGCGGATTGCTAGAGGTCAGGAGTTCAAAACCAGCCTGAGCAAGAGCAAGACCCCATCTCTACTATAAATAGAAAGAAATTAATTGACCAACTAATATATATAGAAAAAATAGCCAGGCATGGTGGCGCATGCCTGTAGTCCCAGCTACTCGGGAGGCTGAGGCAGAAGGATTGCTTGAGCCAGGAGTTTAGGGCCGGGCGTGGTGGCTCACCGCTTGTAATCCTAGCAACTCTGGGAGGCCGAGGCCGGCGGATTGCTCAAGGTCAGGAGTTCAAAACCAGCCTGAGCGAGACCCTGTCCTACTATAAAAATGAAAGAAAATTAATTAGCACTAATATATATATAATAAAATTAGCCGGCATCGTGGCGCGTGCCTGTAGTCCCAGCTACTCGGCAGCTGAGGCAGGAGGATTGCCTGAGCCCAGGAGTTTGAGGTTGCTGTGAGCTAGGCTGACGCCACGGCACTCACTCTAGCCTGGGCAACAAAGCGAGAATCTGTCCTCAAAAAAATAAAATAAAATAAAAGGTGCTAGATCACCATAGTTTTTGTAGTTGAGTAGTATTCCATGGTATACATATACCACATTTTATTAATCCACTCA